TTTTGTTTTGTGTAATGTGTAGTGAAAACCCTTGTTAAAATCATAAATACGATTTTAATTAAGAGTTTCCCTTCCTGGCTCGAAGATGTTACTGTTGAGGCAAAAATGAACCAATCAAACACAGACACAGAAACAGACAGTCATTCAGGTTCATTTTGGCCAGTCAAAGTTAACTGACTTTTATTAAAAGAGAGTAATATTGAATGATCAATATTTGGTTACAATAATGAACAATAAGATGGGCTCTCAATAAAAACGGTATTGTTTCTACTTTTAAGCAATTTGTTTAACAATTTATCTAAGTAAAGCAGATTAATTTATGTACAAAAAGTGTGTGTGTGTGTGTGTGGGTCAGTGTGTGTGTAGTGTGTGTGGAAGGGAGAGACAGAGAGACAGAGAAGACAAACAACAAAGATGTATCTTTTAAGGTTCTGAAGGTTTTTAAGGTTGCATTATGTATTTGACGTGAGCTTAAGCCTGGGGCCAAGTGAGCCAGCTTTCAGCTTTTACCGTTGTCCAGAAACCTCTCCACACAAGACCAGACGCTCTGGTCTCAGCACAGACCGAGGGGCCTCTCTGGGTCAGACAAGTGGATACACAGGTTCCTTCTCATGGACTCGGTCTTTCAACAAAGCGGCAGGTCGACCAGGAAGCTTTGAGGAGCTCACAGCAGGAGGATGTTGGTTTCAGGTTTCAGGCAGAACAGCCTGACACAAAAATGGTATTTCACCATAAAGATAAGGTCCTTGTAAAAATGAGAAAATTATGCTGCGGGAGAACTGGAAAAGTGACTGATTTCCAGTATAAGAAAAGAAGCCTGAGGCGTCTGGCACCCCGGGTCCCAGTGGGGGAGTGCAGATGAGCAGAAGACTGACGAACAGGAAGTAACAGACAGTTTTTAAGAAACAGGAAGAATTGTGTGTGTAGCGTTATCTTTGCAGGTGTGTGGTGAAGTTCTCACGAGAACTGTGTGGTGTGTGTCTTTGCATGTGTGTGGATACCCAAGGTTGAGAACATCAAAAACAACACGGGGACTCTTGTGAGCAGAGTAACATTGAGCAGACTACAGTAACTCAACTCAAAGAACATTAGATTAATATTTCAATTAACTAATGATTAATTATGAACTACTATTAGTAAACTAATAAACATAGTTAAACTAATAAAATGATTAAGTAATGCTGAAGATGTAAAAAGATAAAAATATTGATTGAAACATGTTCTGCTAATACTAAATCATCATTTCTAAACACTTTCTAAACATCATAACAACAAATGCAAAGTTATAAAATGACTATTACTAAAGAGCCCTTGAAAAATTAAAGACAAATTCAACACATTTTAAAGGGGTTTATGCATTTGAAATACACATGTTTAAAGAACAGCAGTAATGGAAACAGAATATTTGTTTTGACTTGTTTTTATCAGCAAAATAACAGACTCTTGAGAACAAAATCTCTCCCAAATGAAAGAAGGGACAAAAGAGAAAAGGCTTATTTTTTATAGTTCTCCATGAGAGCTGAATGAGTTTATTCTAGGAGGAGAGAGCTTTGACCTCAAGTGGTCAAAGGTCAATCAGTGGCATGATGAGGTGAGGGGAAATGGGCGTATTCACTACATATGTAAAAATAAAAATAATGCTTTCCTTAGTTTCCCAATTTCCTCATTCCCTTCTGTTCCCAATATCTCTTTTAAACTCCACTCTTTCCCTTCCTTAAGCATACCTACCAAGCATTTGGTATGCTTGTTTGTCTTTGTGTCTATGGTGTAATAATAATGATGNGTGTAATAATAATGATGACGTGATGCTGTAATTCTGAGTGTTTTATGTGCTGCAGAACAGGAACCTGCTGTAAAACAGCAATTATGCTGAGTCAAGCTTGATTTTTAATAATCTTTTCCAGTTAAATAAATAAATCAAATCAAATCAAACCTCTCTTACCTTTTCCCTCATCTTCTCTTTTTAAACTGTGTATTTTGTACATGTCATCAGGACATGTTCCACGCTTTCTTTCTCTCCACAACTCTCACAATTATAATCAGCCCTTTTCCCTAAAAAATCATTTAAATAGGAATGCCCCACCCTTACTCTCATCATCATCATACATACATCATSATTCAATATATTGTTATATATTTCTGTAACAAATTCACCTTTAACATTCTCTCAAAAAGACATATTGATCTGGCATTTTTAACTTCATCCACCAGATCATTTCACAATCTATACCCTGGACTGAAGTACTCCGTTCCTTCAAACTGGTTCTAAACTTACGTTTAACAAACACTTCTATCCTTTTGAGATTATAAAAACTTTCTCTTTTAATAAAATGTAATTGGATGTTTGAAGGTAAGGTGTTTTTATGAGCCTGACACATAAGTGACAAAATATTATAATCAACCAAATCATAGAACTTCAATAATGTCAACTGATGGAATAATGAATTTGTTGGGCATCTGTAATTCTTTCTGGTAATAATCCTTACTGCTCTTTTCTGTAAAACAAAAATGGGATTTGTAATCATTTTGCATGTTTTCCCCCAAACATTAATACAGTGAGTAGATTAAGTGTGGGACTATTATTGCATTATACATCATAAAAAGTGCTTAATCATTAAATAAGTCCTTTACTCTGTATAATACATCTAAAATTCACTGCTTTAAATGTTGACCAACACCTCAAGAGCTTCTCTGAGTTTGATGAGACATTTTAAAATTTAATATTAACTTAGTGTTTTGTTTTTTAGTAATGCCTCTGGAAGCCATCGATTCGTTGCCATTTATTTGTAAATAATAAATCAGATAACATGTATTAAAGCAGTGATTCTCAACCCTGGTCCTCAAGAACTTCTTTCCTGCATGTTTAAATGTTTCCCTGATTTGGACACACCTGGTTTGAATGACCTGCTGAATTGCAGGGAAACAAGTAAAACATGCTGGARAGGGGTCCTTGAGGACCAGGGTTGGGAACCACTGCTTTAGCAAATGCCAACTCTTTGGGGAAACAGACGAACCTATCTTTGAATTTGACTAAACAGATGTTTAATTAACACTTTATTTTTAACATACAACACCAAAACTAGAAATCTAACACTTTTGATTTTGCTCTGTGGATTTCGATTCATTCCCTAAAAGATTTATTTAAAAAAAGTATGTTTTTCTTTCAGTTTAATGTTGTCTTTAAATGTTGGTTCTTTAAGATGCAAATATGTAAAATGTCTTGCCAAGAAAAAAAACTATATTGTGCAATTATTTCACGGTAGTTTACTGCCAGTCCTCAGTCTTGATTTTGACAACAGAAGAAGACATCAAATTGATGGTATCCTACCGTATTTTGGAATAACAGCATGCTACCGCTGGAATTCTGCTYTAGTGGACACGCCCATTTCCCATTTTCATTTTTGACTATATTGACTATATTCGCTACACTGCTATYAATTTACGGTAATTTCTAAGAGTGTGTTGCWATAGTTATTTTTACCTGCTCAAGAAAAAAATACATCTCACTGAGTTAATCTACTGTTGTGTAGAGCTTTTGTTATATAATGTATTATAACACTGAATTTTTTGCATAAGTGCTATAAATGTATGATTGTTGCTGTTATTGTTATTAGCAGCTGAAAAGACCAGAGTCAGTCATGGAGTTTGATGCCAGTCATATAAGTGAAGAGGAGGAGGAAGAGACAGATGAGAAGGGAGAGGAGGAGGAGATGAGGTAGGAAAGTTGAGCACAAAAAAATAGTGCCAGCTTCTTTGGATGTTGGTTTTTGTTTCTTAATATCTGCTTTGATTTTAAGGAAAGTTGCTTGTTTAACAAGCTTTTATAAACTGATTTGTATTTGCTCTCTGGCTCTTTAGGAGTGGAGAAGTCAAATGGTTGTCTGACTGCTGCCCACTAGTTGACGGAGGCTAAATTACATGACAAGACTGAATCGCTGGCATGAAAGTTTACGGTTTAAATACATACTAAGTGCTTTAAAGAATCAATACAATATTGGGAAATGAAGAATTGCAATATTTCAGTGTAATGATATTTTCAACACGTGTCAACATGTCACAATATGTAGTGCCACAAAAACCTTGCACTATTGATATGTCAGATTTCTTTCTAAGATGAAAACTGCTTTGCAAAGTAAAATCAAGCACGATTTTGTTAAAATTAGCACAGAAGATATTCACACCACTCTAAATCCTTTGTGTTCCACCAAGGCGAAATGCCAAGCACAACCAGAGTAGTTGCATTACTCTAGCTTTGAGAGACCAACTTTCCACCACCTTCCCATTCCCCCCTGAAGCAGCTGGAAATGGGTAGAAAATGCAAGATACAAAAAGGTACAAACAGAACAGACTTAACATTGAATTCACATGGTGACTGGAAGAATGTGAAGTTACAAGAATTTAGTTTAAACCTTATCTTTTAGGTTTTTCTATTGTTTTTAGAAAACAAATTTTGTTAAATATTTTTTTCTTATAACTGTTAAAGGGCTGTAGTAAAATATTTTCATCAGAGATCAAGCTAAAAAATGAGAAGAGATTCCTGAGAAATCAGACAGGAGTGACAAGTCAGTTCCATTTGTGTCAAAACCTCCAAGAAGAAAACAAAGTATTTTTTACAAAATATATTCTTGAAATTCATTGAAATTATCTTAAATATATTGTTCTTGTGAACTCAGGACCAAGTCTTGTCTAGTGAGCCATGTGTACCGTTACAGCTATGTGTCACATTAAAAGGRGTAATAGGTATTAAACGTCACATTCAATAACGTCTGAAACAAGTCATTTCCCTGTCAGTACAAGAAATGAGAAAGTGAGTCTGATATTTACTCTAATTAGTTTTTCTTTTGTTCCTTCTTATTACTGTTCAGAGATGTATAAAAGTGAAGGAGACTGCTGCAGACATTTGTAAGCCATATGTTGAAATATGTTTACACGCTCAGCAGATTAAAGCAGAGAGCATCTACAGAGACGAAACGTGCACGATGGATCAGTCGCAAACTCACCGGTACATGAGAGGTGGGCTTCCCTGGGCTTCACAGCTGAACACTACCTCCCTGTTGTTCTCCACTGTGTGTACAGGATACACAATGCTGCCCGGCTGCTTGGTGAAGACAGGACTCTGCAGGACACTGCTCTCTGCGGGACCACACAGAAACACAACATGGCTGACTATAAACCCGGGTAACAGCCTGTTTGTAAAACAGCCAATTAGTCAGTGGCAGAAACCAGTTGATGCTGCTTTAAACATCTCAAAGGGCAAAACCACAAGCAGACAAAACATATCAATTTAACTTGCCTGTCACAATGTGGTGGCATAGAAAAGAAAGATTTGAAGTGAGACGTGTCTTCAGGACCTATTTAGATGGTAACAAGATACAGAGAATAATTTAGCTTGAAGAATGGCCTGGATAGATGTAGTTATTTTCTTTCACTGATTTGCTCATTTTATATTTATTTGGCCATTTATTGGGACAATGTGCTCATCCATTTTCTGCTGCTTGAACTCTTTGTTTTAAATAACACAAAAAGTCTTGGTTACTGCAGCATTAGACAATTCTGGGCGTAGGGCTACACTCCCCTTTTAGACTAATTTTGAATTTACTGCAAGTAAAATCCCTTAGGTTTTTTTCAAAACTGTCTTTATTAATCGTTTTAAAATGTTTTTAGTTGTGTTTGTTTTAAATTTTGTGCTATTTAAGTTACAAAGTAAGCAATACTGTATTATGTATTGTATGTAGGTATTATGTGGATGTGTTGGACAAAGGATATAGAGTACAGAGCTGCAAGGGCGGAGGACAAGAGGAACTAGAACAGTTCCTGGAGAAACTACTGTATGAGAGGATTTGCCATGTGCCATCCAATTTAAATAAGGACTTACTGTTTGTTGGAAATCACTGTTTTTTACTACCATACCAAATCTGAGCCAAATATGTCCAAAAACAGCTGAGTTATGGTCAATTTTGTATTTTAGTTATGGTGGCCATCTTGAATTTTTGATTTGGCTTCAGTATGTGAAGAAAAAAAGTCACTGATGATGAAGAAACTAATATTCAGTTCTGTTTTCTACTAAAAAAAAAGAAAACATATGTGATGAAGATCCGTCTTAGCAACCACCACACTAAACCACACTAAAAATACTCAAATGGGCAGAGTATCAAATTAGCTCAGGTAGCCATCTTGAATTTTTTTTTAGCATTCAGCTTTTATCAAAACTTGACTAAATACCAGTTTTCAGCTCTATGTCTTAAAATGGCTGAATTTGAACCTTTTTTAAAATTAGCTTTAGTGGCTAGCTTAAACTTTTGAGTACATTCAGAATGTGTTGAGTTAGGTCTCTGCTACCACCCCACCAAATTTCAGCTTTGTATGTCTTGAAACTGCTGAGTAATCTGAGTGCCATGCTAAATTACTAGAACCTCTTGTTATGTGACTCAAGAGACTACTCTGCCCAATCAGAAAGCCCAATTGTGATGTTTTTAKAGGGCAGGGCACAGCAGCTGTGCAGCACCTGACTTTCAACATAAGCAAATCTCTGAAAAGTTTAGTTCAAATGGCTACTGTGTGAGAACTATACGATGTATTGAAATAAATCTTGAACCGTGATTGAGAGAACAGATTGGTTCATACTCAATGCGGACTCGAAGCGGCCATCCTCCAGATGGGTCCGTGCAGAGATCACATTTTTACATTCACGGTGTCGCACAATAAACTGCCCGGCGAGTTCAAGTCAAACTGTTTTGGATGCAACACCAAGCAGATAAAGTTGAGAATCCGTGTCATTTGGGGTTGAAATGGAGTCAACATTTGAAGAGTGTCTCATGGAGGAGATTAGAAAACTTTATGATTCATCAAAGAAGGACTCTAAAGAATTTCAGCGAGCAACAAATTCGTGGGAGGAAATAGCTCAAATTCTTTGTAAGTAGTTCTTTTCTTTTGTTATTTTACAGCTAAAATGCAAACTGTCTTCCTCCTCGTCCTTGACATCATGACTGAAATTGCAAGAATTAAAGAATTTGCCAGGCTGTCAGTACGCTCGAGTTTGAAGTCTCAAACGTCCACGGAGAATATGCGTGGAGTCTGCATGGCTCACGGACCGCACACAGTACGCCCGAGTATGTGGGAGCCTTATCCCCTGACCCACCAATGGTATTTCTGCCAATGGGGACCGGACTTTTGTCCCCATTAGGACCAGTGGGTCCTCACTAGGCTGTATGTTCCAGGAATATGGTCAAAAGTTGTCCCCACCASGTAGCAAAAACATGTACAAACCTACAGTATATGTCTTTATTTTTACACATTTAAAATATTTTTACAAAATTAACTGAAACAAAACATCCAGTYGATCATGGGATACTTTGGTAAGACAAACACAGTTCACTTAAAGTTTTAAGAGCCTAAAATATAATTAGTTCTCACTTAAGTACTGTTGAAATGACTCTCACTTGCTACAACATTTTGCATCAATTTCTGTAAAACTGGCTGAGTTTTATGATTTATCTATGTGTTTATGTGTCTGTGTACATGTTTTTGCTACTTGGTGGGGATGATTTTTGACTATTTTCCTGGTACACAAAGTCTGGCGAGGACCCACTGTTCCTTATGGGGACAAAAGTCCAGTCCCCATTGGGGGAAATACTGATGGTGGGTCAGAGGTTCAGTTTAGGACTAATGTGTGAATTGAGTTTAGATTAAGTTTAGTCAGGTATATATACCTGTGAGGTTAGGTTTAGTCAGGTATGTACCTGTGAGGCTAGGTTTAGACAGGTATGTATCTGTGAGTTTAGGGTAAAGGGTCAGAGTTAGGCTACAGAAATGACTGGTAAATGAATGAATTGTCAAAGACCCCATGAGGATAGGAAAGCAAACATGTGTGTTTGACAATGTTGTCTAGCTGTGGTAGCCATTTATATGGAGCTGATTGCAAGTTGTTTGGTTCAATAAAATCTGTTATTTTGCTTATCATACAAATGGACATAAACGCACAATATTTCGTAGCTTTCTCTTGTTCTGATTGAACTTTCAGTTTTACATTTGACTGGGTGCACTAACAGCTATAAAATTATCACTAATGATATCTAGTTTAAATCTGAGGAGCCAATAAGTTCACCTTCACCTCTCCTAGCTCAGGCTCATTAGACAGAACCTCTAGGTCAAGTTTAAGGCATAAAAAGGTTCAGATTCTGCTCTACTTGAATATGCAAGGAAGCTCAAAGAGGAAGTGAAGACAGCAATTAGGCAAGTCGGCCAAAAATTAATGTCATGACTGACTGTCCTCTCACTTTTAGATGGTAATTCAGCCTGTGTAAAAACTGCAGAATCAAGCCACAATCAGAACAGTAGTCAGTTTTCATCTWGTGCTCTGATTTGAGACTTAACCTCGGACCCATGCCAAGTAAAAAGGCCAAGTATTTTGATTTCACACTAACTGTTAAAAAAATGGTCTTTTCTTACATCTCAAATATTCATTTGTTTTAATGGCATAAAAACACCACTTGAATGGTTTTGTTTCCTTACAAATTATTTGGATGCAATCTAAGTACTGGTTCAAACAGACTTAATGAATATGTTTACAGTATATAATCATCTGTCCGTCCATCCATTTTCTTCCACTTATCCAAGATCGGGTCGTGGGGGTATCAGCCTAAGTAGAGAGACCCAGACTTCCCTCTCCCCAGCCACTTGGGCCAGCTCATCCGGGGGAACCTCAAGGCGTTCCCAGGCCAGCCGAGAAACATAGTCCCTCCAGCGTGTCCTGGGTCTTCCTCTGGGCCTCCTCCCAGTGGGACATGCCCAGAACACCTCACCAGGGAGACGTCCAGGAGGCACCCTAATCAGATGCCCGAGCCACCTCAACTGGCTCCTCTTGATGTGGGGGAGCAGCGGCTCTACTCTGAGTCCCTCCCGGATYTCTGAGCATCTCACTCTATCTCTAAGGGAGAGCCCAGACACCCTGCAAATGAAACTCATTTCGGCCACTTGTATCCGCGATCTTGTTCTTTCGGTCACTACCCAAAGCTCGTGACCATAGATGAGGGTAGGAATGTAGGCCGATAAGTAAACTGAGAGCTTTGCCTTCTGAATCAGCTCTCGCTTCACCACAACATACTGGTACAGCGCCCGCATCACTGCAGATGCAGCACCAATCTGCCTTTCGATCTCCTGCTCCATTCTTCCCTCATTTGTGAACAAGACCCTAAGACACTTAAACTCCTCCACTTGGGGCAGGACCTCCTCCCTGACCCGAAGAAGGCACCCTACCAGTTTATGACTCAAGACCATGGTCTCGGATTTGGAGGCACTGATCCTCATCCCATCTGCTTCACACTCGGCTGCTTACCGCTCCAGTGAGAGCTGGAGATCCCGATCTGATGAAGCCAATAGGACCACATCAACCGCAAAAAGCAGAGACGTGATCCTAAGGTCACCAAAATGGATCCCCTCAACACCTTGGCTGCTCCTAGAAATTCTGTTCATAGAAGTTATGAACAGAATCGGTGACAAAGGGCAGCCTTGGCTGAGTCCAACTCTCACCGGAAATGAGTCCGACTTACTACCGATAATGTGGACCAAGCTCTGGCACCGGTTGTACAGGGACCCTACAGCCCATATCAATGGGTCTGCTACCCCATTCTCCCGGACTACCCCCCACAGTAGTCCCCGAGGGACACGGTCAAACGCCTTCTCCAAGTCCACAAAACARATGTAGACTGGTTGGGCAAACTCCCATGCACCATCCAGGACACTGTTGAGGGTGTAGAGTTCGTCCGCTGTTCCGCAACCAGGAAGAAACCTACACTGCTCTTCCTGAATCCGAGATTCGACTATCCGACGGACCCTCCTCTCCAGAACCCCCGAGTAGACCTTACCAGGAAGGCTCAGAAGTGTGATCCCCGTATAGTTGGAATACACTCTGTGTTCCCCCTTTTCAAATAGGGGGACCACCACCCCGGTCTGCCAATCCACAGGAACTGCCCCCGATGTCCACGCGATATTGTAGAGTTGCATCAACCAATCATCTATAATTATCTGGTGACATTTAAAATCTGTCCACATGGGAATGCTGCCTTCAAATGATGCCTTTTTCCTCATAAACATGGCACCATTTCTAGAAATGTTTTCATTCACACGGAAAAACA